CGACATTCGAATAGCACTTTGAACCTAAGTTTGAAACAATATATAAAATAGGTGTACTTAAAGTCAATGGAATAGACATTCCTTGTATGACACCTTTTCCTGTTATAGGAAACTGTTGGTAGTAAAAACCAGATATAAGTTTTGTATTATAGCTCATATCGTTTATACTAAACTCAGTCGGACATCCAAACATAATGAAACCTGCTCTAGTTGCAGCACATGTTACATCCGTCCTTAAAGTATTAAATAAGTCAACAAAACCTGTTGGTGGTATATCTGAGTAAGTATCTTCAAAGAAGTATTTTTTACCATTCACAACAACAAAGTCTTCTGGTGTCAAAAGAGCAAAACAGGCTTTAGTCGTCATCGTGTTTAAGGTCAGTTTACAATATCGTCCTTGAGGACTTTGTAAGTTTGTTGTTATAGAATTATATGACTCAGGGTTTTTGTCGTAATAGTATAAACCATTGTCTTCTGCCATTTACTTAGCAAATAAATTTTAATGAAATGTTGTGGTCGTCAAATATTTTTATGACGTCTGGGAAACTATATTTTAAGTTCAACGTTTCACCTCCTTTCATAACGTATATCTTGTCAATGACATTATATGAAACACCACAGCAAGCAATGTCGGGTTCTATTTCTTTGATGTTTATATCGTCTGCCTCTGTCAAAAGTTTCAATAGTTCTTTCAAAACTTCATGAGGTGCGATGACATATGAGTTCACTTTTACAGGGTTGTGTTCAACCAAGTTTAACATTATACCCAAAGCTGACAAATCTTCTCCTGAGTTTTAAGTTTGTCTTTAAGTTGTTGGTAGTCGTTTCGAATATCTGCAACAGAACTTAAGTCTCTGCTAACTTCAGGGTATGTTGGTTGTTCTTTTACAGGAACTATTGTTATACCATCTTGTCTTCGTATGGTTTCCCCACTTCAACATCTCTTTCTTTGACATTGACAACAACACTTTGACTGTTTGTTTGAGTTGGTGAATTTAACTTCACATCTGCCACCGCCATTAAACCTTTTGAAACACTTACGCTTCTATTTTTCGGAAATGACATTTTACTTAGAATAAAAAGATGGACGTATTCGAGTATCTCTTCGAATTGAAGCAGAACAAAGTTTACACACACAAACAATACAAGTTCATTGACAGAATAGTTCTTTACACAAACAATGGAAAATGTTATAGAATAGCAGTCTTTGCTGAACCAAAATATTTTCATAAAGCAAAGAAAGTTGGTATAACCGATGGTGAAAGTTCTTGAAGCAGACAAAAATATAACAACAAAACTGACCGATATTTCTAAAGGTAAGTTTTAATACAATATTATCAAAACTGGCGTACTGTCAATATTTGACGGAGAGAAGTCAGTTCAAGAACAACTTACTGACCTGCTGCCAAAATCTGCTCGATGGAAGCTGTCGTTATGCCAATCTGAGGAGCCCCAGCAGGTTTCATCGAACGAATCTTCAAAAGAGCATCTTCCGTGAAAAGTGCTATTGGTTTTGTAAACTTCTTTGCTTTCAATTCATCTGGACCGTCTCTGTCACCAGTATATTGTATTTGAACTGTACCAACAGTTGAAATACCACCCATAAAGTCTTCTGAGTCAGCAAATGGAATGCCAAGCCAAAAGTTTGAACGGTCTCCATTTGTATATTGAGTTTTTTTGACCTCCTGTATGAGTCCATACTTTCACATATGGCATAATAGAACTTTGCATTTCAGGGTTAATGGTTGTTGTGAAGTTGTTGTTAAAGTTCATAGCATCTAATGTCAAGTTGTATGACCTCATATCCTCAACTGTAGAATATTCTTCTCTTGGATAGTATTTGCCATCTATGTTTATATGGTATTTAATACCAGGGTTGTAGAAGCAAGAATAGTCATTTATAGTTCGTCTGAACAGTACAAACATAGTATCTGCATGTTTCATTGCAGTTGTTAAAGCAATATCTGTTCTTGCACCTGGGTCAGCACTTTGGTTTCCAACTTCACCTGCAAAGTCTTTGACAGATATTTGGTGTATAGGGAACATAAGTGGAACTGCAATATATTTGGCAGCTAAAGCATTTGAAATATCTGGGTCCAACATATAGACTGCAAGTCTGCTTTCTATTCTCTTGCATTCAAATTTTCGCATGTGAACTTAACTGGGTCCCAAGCATCTCCAGCAGCATTGAAATAATAGTTTACTTCAGTGTTGAGGTTTGAGAAACCAAAGTCTAAGTCAACTTTGTTTTTGCAAAAGTCGGCGAATGACATTTTATTTGTTCCCACTACTTCTGTAAGAGTGAATGGGTCTTGTGTTGGTGCAATGACTAAGTTATTTTTGCTTGGAGTAAGTTCGATAGAAATTTTTCCTGCCCAGTTTGGCAAGTATCTTAAAAACCTGAAGATGAGGAAAGATGACAAAGGAACTCTAAGTTTCAATTTACTTTGGTTACTGCTGCTGCAGTTTGTCCAGAAAGGTTAACATAAACTCCTGGAACGTTAGGGTCAAGTCTTCTTATTTTCTCAATAGTTGCATACTGGTCTGTTTGTTCTCTAGCTTGTGGTTGTACTGAGTTTCTCAAAGCGAACCATTCATAGTTTGCCCATGTTACTGTTTGAACTAAGTCAGAGTTAGAATATATCTTATATCCCATGAAAACTTCTGGAGCATATTGGTATCCGACATAGAAAATTCCATTGCAACCTTTCTTGTCAGACAACTTGGCAGAAGGTTTTATTTCAATGTCTTGTTCCACGTATAAGAATGAGTTGTCAATAGAAATAATATGAAACCTGTCGCAAGCAATATCTACTGTTGTTGAAGAACCTTCTCCAAACTCACCTACGTTTCCATAAGAAACAGCAGTTGTATATTCGTAAGTTCCAGGAACTATTTCTGACCTTCTAATGGCATTGTCGCATTCGTTATACCATTCGGAAACATTTCCATTCATAGCATCCAAAACTGTTGGCGTTATATTCTGAGCGGCGTACATTTCATATGAGTAAAAATATAGAATAGTTGGATTTATATGTCATAATAGAACCCACGTGGACCAAGCTTTACTTTCTTCCTGACTGAGTTTTTAACTCTTCTTTTTCCTTCATTGCCCTCTGCTTGAAGTTGTTGCATCTTTGCATTATGTTCATCTAGTATGTTGCAAATTTCCCATGTCCTTTTTGCCTTTGGCTCTGGTCGCCCATCTCAGGTAACCTATATCCTAGAAAGAGTTTGTCATAGTCTGTATTTGAGTCTTTGCGTATTGTTTGCATGACTCTTTCCTGAGTTTCTGGTTCAAGCTCTTCAAACAGTGCTTGTCCATATGGAATAAGCTCGTTTCCAAATATATGTTTTTGTAGCCATTCTGGTTTTTCTTTCCATGTTACCAATATCTTTTGTGAATGGGAAAGCTTTTACCCAATCTTTCAGTCTTGCGTCGTTTATTTCTGTAGTTGGTTTTATTTTGTCAAGGAACATGTTTTTCAATACTAACATTTCATTTGGTACTGTCCATTTGAGTTTTCTTAAATATTCATCCTTCTCGTTCATCGTCCTGCAAAGTAAGTTTTTATGACATTTTGTAAACTTTCGTTTGCAAGGTCATGTACAATAGGTTCTCTTCCTTCTCCTCCCTAACTTTCTTTCTAAACTCTTCACCAAATATACCATCTCTATGGTTCTGTGTAGTTCTTTGAGATAAATGTTCTAGAACGTCAGGTGTTATATTTCCATCAGCCATGTTCATTTCATACTGGTCCAAAATATCTGCATGTTTCATATCTTTCAATGGCATTAAAGCCGCGCTTAAAATACCAGCTATATCTCGTTCACCATTGACTTCCATTGCGTCTACAACTTCTTGGAATTGTGGTTGTAAGTTTATGAACCACCTATCTGGATTAGCTTTATGACCCCATCTCATTGTATTCCATCGTCTGCAGAAACAAAAGTAGGTTTGTTTCCATCTTGGTTAGGTTCTGAATGAACTTTAAACAATGTTTCATTTCTATATGTTTTCTTGAAATTTAACCTTTTATTTTCACCGAGTTCATCCGAAGATTGAACGTTAAATGCTCGTAAGTAAAAAGGGTTGTTGTATTTGTGTACATTTTTTTTCAGTCTTCCATTCTATGCTGAATATTTTCATCTGATGTTGGAGTCTTTTGTATGTCGGCAAACATTTTTCGATATTCTTCTACTATGTCAGCCGATTTTTTTTAGACTCTTGGAAATATTCCATATTCTCCGCATACTCTTGTTGAGGGTCAAGATTTTTCGGCTGTTCCAAATCTTCATCTAGTTCTGTGAAGTTAGTTTCCAAAGGAAGGACTTGTTCGTTTCCTTCAGGCTCTTCTAGCTGTTGTTGCTGAACTATTTCTTCCATGTCTGGTTGTATCTGAACTTCTTCCTGTGGAGTTTCTTGTACCTCATCTGCTGGCATTTCATATATTCCGAGACCGTTTTCAACAATTTCCCTATCTACGTCATCCGCATTCATAAGCTTTTGTTCTTTCGTTCCGTCTCTATTTTTTACGCGTTTCATGACGAAAGTTGAATTGTCATTTAGCTCTGACATCAAATATCTCGGAGTAAATTCATCCATGTCATTTGGATGATATGCTATTAAATCATATCCCTTAGCGAGCTTGTATTTTCCAGGTTTGAGATTATATCCGTTTTGGTGCTGAGCCATAAAGCTAAATAGGTTCGGGTCAGTATTTCCATCCTTGAACTTTCTAATAGCTTCTTTATATCTGTCACTAAAGTCAACAGTATCTGGGAAACCACACTCTTCTTTAAGCATTTTTAAGAATTCTTGGTTTCCTTGTTCTCTACTTCTTTTATGTCCTTGCTCTGTTTGTGGTTGTTGTTGTGCAGGGTTTTGAACTGTTGGTTGCTGTGCTGGTTGTTGTGTTGGTTGTTGTGTTGGATTTTGAACTGTTGGTTGTTGTTGTGGTGCATGCCTGTGTCTGTGTCCATGTGACGATGTAAATGTTTTAGGTAGTCCTGGTGCAGGTGCTTCTCTTGGAGGGTTTGGTGGTATATAAGTTCCACCAGCTGGCACATATGTTCCATCTGCAGCATAATGTCCTACCTGACTTTTCGTTTTTAAGAAAGCATTTACTAGGTCTGTTTTGGTCTGTTGTAACTCTTTTTCTTGACTTTCCACAACAGTTGCTCTAACGGCGTCATAGGCACTTTGAACTGCCTGTCTCGTTGCTGCATCTGTTATTTTCGTCATATTTTGTGCTACTTCTCTTAACTCTTTGTCGAAACCTTCAGACTTCAGTTTCTTTCCAGATGAGAAGTCGTTCACTTGTTTCACCTTACTATGAAGAGCTTCGAAGGCGTTCTTAAAGTCAGCATTTGTTAAAGCTTCATTTGAACTGTCTTCATCCGCTTGTATTTTTGTCCTTATTGACCCTATAAGCTGGGCTGCTTTAGCGTTGGCTTGGGCATCTAACCAGTCATTGTTAGCTTTTATATATTCTGAGCTTTTCATTGCCTTTTGCATAGCCGCGTCGTTATTTTTACTTTCTTGTGCTAAGTTTTCATACTGTACGGTTTGGTTTTGCAACTGTAAAAGTTTTTCTGCCTTTACATTTGCTTCAACTTCCTTTTTATACTCATCGCTATCCATATATGTCTTCAGGGCTTTTTGTTTTATTTCTTCATCTTTCAGTACTTTATATCGAGTAGTATGGTTTTTCAAATTTATGACATCTTGTTCCATTTTTGCTACTTCTGTTGCTTTTTCTGACACTTTTTTCGCATATTCCTCTGTACTTAGTTCTTTCAGTTGTTCTTCTTTCTTCTTTTTCTCTACGTTTAACTCATTGAGTTTCTTTGTGTGTCTGTCATATTCTAGTTTCTTTTCGTTTTCACTTATTTGCTTCTGTATGTCTATGTTTGACTTTTTGACATCTGTTATTTGATTTTTGAGTGAACTCAAATTCATTTGACTTTGAGGGTTATATGCTGTTCCGTCTGCAGCTCCACCATAGCCTGCCATTTTCGCTAAAAGTGCCGCTCTTAAACCTCCACTCTGTGCACCAAGAACTCGGTTTAAAAGCATAGGATTGCTTGACATTTGTTGCAACATAGTGGGGTCATTCATCATTTGTTGTTGCAACTGTTGTTGTGGTGTCAGTTTTACTATTGGATGTTTCAATGCTCTCTTCCTCTTACGTATATTCTTACGTAGCTTACGTGGCATTTTAAGTGAAGTTAAAAAGCGGTTTTTGACAGATGTTTATATGACACTTTTTGTTCAGCACAAAAAACTACTCGGTCAAAGTGTTGTCAGTTTTGTAAAATAACCGTCCTATCTCATTCTATAAGGGGAAAAGGCTTCTCAAAGTATACTTCCTTGGAACGCCTGTAACTTTTCCTGTAGCGACGATAGACCCTTACTTGTCCGGACAAAGTTATACTAAACATCTTCGGGGCTAGAGGGCACGAAGTGCCTGGAAGCCCCACTACCTTTTTTTTTTTTTTTTTTTTTAAAGCAAATAAATATGAGACTTACTTTTAATGATTATAGTAAGAATGAAACAAATTTATTTTGATTTTTAGATAGTCTTTCGGAATTGATCGTTTTGCTTATATCAAAAACAATAACAAATCTCTATGATTTCTATTCAGTTATGAGTTCATGATCATTTTCCGTAAATATTGAATTTTGTTTTTGTTTTAAATAGATTAATGAAGTAAAAATGCTTTTCCATGGGAATTTACTAATATCATTATAGTGAATTTATTTTCTAAAAAACAAAAAAAAATTAATTAAACAGATAAAACAGAAGGTTCGTTTTGTTTCTTTGGTTGATACTCAGCTATAACTTTCCTAACATCATCAGCATCAACACATTTCTTTAATATAGGCAATATTCTATCCATTAGTTCAGTATCTTTTTGATCTCCTTCCCAAGTTATCGAAAATATACCATTCGCAGGATGTCTGTTAAAAGAGCATGGGTTGTTATCAACAATGATAATCTTTTTAATAGGCGCATTAAACATATCGAGATCTTTGACATACATTCCGTTTGAAAATGAACATGATTCACGAAAAAGACGCTGCGTAGCTGGTAGGTTTGGAAGGATCTTATCTATAATTGGGTTAGCGTATGGACCTAATGAAGCTGTAAAAACAACAACATAAAATAAAGGCATAATTTGAGCTAAAAATTCATCAAGAAATGGTCTTTTTTGTACATATACATCGTATTGAACTCCATCAATAATAATTGGTAATGTTAAATCGTGATATTCTGGCGGATAAAATGAACAATGTACGAGCGTTTCATCTAAATCGAGAACGAGTACTTTCTGTGCTGTAATGGTTTCTTCAATAACGACAGATGGCACCCTGGCTGTGGCTGGTGCAGCATGAAATTTGCAACAACAGCCACAGCAACCAGAACCAGCATCGTCATCATCTTTGACGAGACCATCATGAGATATCACTCTGCTTTCAATATCTTGAATATTCTCGTCACTATTTTCACCCATTCTTTATATTTATCTTAAATTCTTTTTCACTTTTTGAACTTTTTGTAAATTTTCAAGATATTTATTTGAAGTAAGAGCCGATATTTAAAGTAAGAACATGGTATAAATTAATTATATCATGATTTTTAGTCCTTACAACGCACATTTTTTTTAAAATATTATTATTCTTCCTTAAATCAGTCAAATATATTAAGATTTTAAGACATCTCGTGAATACCTCAGTACGCCAGTTTTGACATAATATCTCTTGACGACAAAAATATAACTTCAAAACTTACAGATATTACTAAAGGAAAGTTTATAATACAATATTATGTCAAAACTGGCGTACTGTCAATATTTGACGGAGAGAAGTCAGTTCAAGAACAACTTACTGACCTGCTGCCAAAATCTGCTCGATGGAAGCTGTCGTTATGCCAATCTGAGGAGCCCCAGCAGGTTTCATCGAATGAATCTTCAAAAGAGCATCTTCCGTGAAAAGTGCTATTGGTTTTGTAAACTTCTTTGCTCTCAATTCATCTAGACCGTCTCTGTCACCAGTATATTGTATTTGAACTGTACCAACAGTTGAAATACCACCCATAAAGTCTTCTGAGTCAGCAAATGGAATGCCAAGCCAAAAGTTTGAACGGTCTCCATTTGTATATTGAGTTTTTTGACCTCCTGTATGAGTCCATACTTTCACATATGGCATAATAGAAGTTTGCATCTCAGGGTTAATAGTTGTTGTGAAGTTGTTGTTAAAGTTCATAGCATCTAATGTCAAGTTGTATGACCTCATATCCTCAACTGTAGAATATTCTTCTCTTGGATAATATTTGCCATCTATGTTTATATGATATTTAATACCAGGGTTTAGAAACAAGAATAGTCATTTATAGTTCGTCTGAACAGTACAAACATAGTATCTGCATGTTTCATTGCAGTTGTTAAAGCAATATCTGTTCTTGCACCTGCGGCTCTGGATTTTGGTTTCCAACTTCACCTGCAAGGTCTTTGACAGATATTTGGTGTATAGGGAACATAAGTGGAACTGCAATATATTTGGCAGCTAAAGCATTTGAAATATCTGGGTCCAACATATAAACGGCAAGTTTGCTTTCTATTCTCTTGCATTCAAACTGTTCGCATGTAAACTTAATAGGAACCCAAGCAGTATTGTTGTCTGCTGTTCCTGAGAAGTAGTAGTTTACTTCAGTGTTGAGGTTTGAGAAACCAAAGTCTAAGTCAACTTTCTCTTTGCACCATTTTCAAATGGTATGCTGGCAGCTCCACAGCTGTATCTGTAAGAGTGAATGGGTCTTGTGTTGGTGCAATGACTAAGTTATTTTGCTTGGAGTAAGTTCGATAGAAATTTTTCTGCCCAGTTTGGCAAGTATCTTAAAAACCTGAAGATGAGGAAAGATGACAAAGGAACTCTAAGTTTCAGTTTTACTTTAGTGGCAGCAGTTCCATCTGAACCAGAAAGGTTAACATAAACTCCTGGAACGTTAGGGTCAAGTCTTCTTATTTTCTCAATAGTTGCATACTGGTCTGTTTGTTCTCTAGCTTGTGGTTGTACTGAGTTTCTCAAAGCGAACCATTCATAGTTTGCCCATGTTACTGTTTGAACTAAGTCAGAGTTAGAATATATCTTATATCCCATGAAAACTTCTGGAGCATATTGGTATCCGACATAGAAAATTCCATTGCAACCTTTCTTGTCAGACAACTTGGCAGAAGGTTTTATTTCAATGTCTTGTTCCACGTATAAGAATGAGTTGTCAATAGAAATAATATGAAACCTGTCGCAAGCAATATCTACTGTTGTTGAAGAACCTTCTCCAAACTCACCTATGTTTCCATAAGAAACAGCAGTTGTATATTCGTAAGTTCCAGGAACTATTTCTGACCTTCTAATGGCATTGTCGCATTCGTTATACCATTCGGAAACATTTCCGTTAGTTAGTATGGCTAACTTGGGTACGGCGACACTGCGTTCCACCTTACCCAATATAACCTTAAATATTTACAAAACCAGTAACGTATATTTTACAACACAAACGACAACACTAACTTAACATTAAATATTTACAAAGCCGCCAACCACTTCACCTCACTAACGTTTTCACAAACGACTTCACTAATGTAAAAAATAAACGTTCTCACTTACAAAAGTATTGCAACTCCTCCCATTGCTGTGCTTCACATAACAGCTCATAATCTTCTGACTCACTTTCTTCTTCATATAGGTCAAAGTCACTGTCAAAATAAATGTTAGTAAGTTTTGACAAAGCTAATGAAACACGCTTACCGTTTGTATCTATTGCTTTTATATATCTCCCATTATGTTTGTTGTCATAAACGCTCAAACTAACTTTACCCTTTCTCCCTCGTATCTGATAGAATGTATTTTCACGAGGAACGAAGAACAAATTCTTGAACTCATGACCGTTGTAGTTTGTTATCTCAATAGTTTTCGTCATTTACATCCAAATAAAATAAAAAATAAAATATAAAAATAAACTTAAAAATTAATGATATCACCACCCTCACACGTATGAAAACATAGCACAAAAATAAATTTAGGTGAAGCGGTGAGATCTCACCTCTTTTTTCACCTGTTTTTTCACCCACTTGAATTCATTGCTTTATAACTCTCTTCCTTTCTCCAACTCTTCTAACTTCTTCCTAAGTTCAGCAATGTTGTCCTCATGAAGTTTAATCTTTCTCAAAATTCCTTCTTTATCTAATGGTTGCTTTATCTTTCTAAACTGAACTCTACCATCCTTCATAGTATGAATGTAAAAACCTTCTGGAATAGTTCCTGATTTAATGTATTCTACCAAAAACTTTTGTTTCATTGCTTCAGTGACTTTATTTGTCATTTCAATCAAATAAAAATTTTAATATTAAATAAAAATAACGTTATTTTTTCAGTAAGGAAACGCAGGAGTTTTACGATTTATTTGAGGAGTAGGTTCTGGTTTAAATGTTGGAGTCGGTTTAGGAGTTGACTTTTGAACAGGAGTTTGTACTTCCATAGGTTCAGGAGTCATTGAAGGTTTTGCTTGTGAAGGCGTTGGTTTTGGCGAAGGTGTCGGAGTTTGTTTAACTTCAGCTACTTCAGTATTATTTACAACATTTGCTTTATTTCTTTTCAACATCATTACTGCTCCTGCTGTAGCTAGCAAACCTAGTGGGAGACCATATTTTATATAAGGACTTGACCAAATGCTATTTTTGGCAGGAGCTGGTGGAACACCTAACCTTGGTGAAACTGCTCTTTGCCATTGTGCAGCTCGTAAGAAATATTCAATAGGTGCTCCATAATCGTTTGGTAAAGTTTGTTTCATAGATGGTGAAGGTTCACGAGAGCTTGATGAAGAACTCATTTATAAGCTTTAAAAATAAACGTTCATCCTTTATTCCTCACTGTCGTCCGTAGCTAAGTTATAGTCGTCAAGTCTTATTATGGGGATTCCATTAGCACGCACCTGAATGGCAAAGCAACAATCCCTCATAAATCCAATAAGTGGCTTTGGTACATTTTCAGTTGCTAGTTCAATAGGTCCTTTAACAGACAATTTGTATGTTATTGGAGCAGTAGATGTTTGACCTTGCTGGAAGCAAAAGTCCACTTCTGTTGGAAAACCACATAAGAAATGTGTGTTGTCATAACTATCCCATTTATGTTCCACACTACCATCATCCACCAATGACCTCATAACATCTTCATTAAATCCTATCATATCATTGTTTGTATTGCAAGCGTTCGCAACCATTTCATAAAATACAGGTCCATATGATTTTTCGGGTTCTGCAGGCATATTTCCATAAGCTCCCATGGAAAGCTGAAGATATTTAAACTTAGGGTTCTCAAAATTAACATAATAGTTGTCTTTCTTTCTAAATAGTGCCCAAATACTTTTAACATTAATAGGCGTATAAGCTGCTGTAAATGTTGCACTTGAACTATCTGTATTCTTTGAGAATGAACCGTCCATAGGAATCCAATCCATAACTTTAACAGGAAAACATAAAGCCTCGTTTGTATAATGTTCTACAAGTTCTGTATAAATGTTAGGGTCTAAAGAGAATGACTTTGGATGAATGAAACATTCATTAAAATCCATCTTTGTTCGAAATAGTTGTTGGGTTACAGTTGTAATAGTAACTGTTCCACTAGCTTCTACTGCCTTCGTTATCATAGTGAATGGTTCATTCCATGGAACAAATTTATTTGTCGGTGGATTTGAATCTGAAGCAAATGCAACTTTAAGAGTTGGATTGAAAGCAATGATATCATTTACAGATATAGATGTGCATTGTAAGGCGTCGCTACTGAACTTTACTTTAAGCTGAATGTTTCCTGCAAAAGCTGGAATAAATCTTATAGCTTCTAATGGTAAAACTTTCTAACAGGAATTCTTAAACGAAGCTTAAAATCAAATGATTTTCCTGCTGTAATTGGACCACTAACAATTTGTCCTGTTCTGCATGTTCCCGAATGACTCCATACATCTTCATGTCGAGTCTTTGAGAAAACATCTACTTTCTTTATTTGTTCGGTAGTTTGTGAGTTTGAAGTTATATATGCTTCTTCTCTTGCGTTGTCTTGAGAATATACGATACGACCATTTGCAAGGATTTGATATCCAGCAACTGCATAGAAAGCGTCATCGAAACCAATCCAAAATCCTGGTGGGTTTGTTTTATTGGAACCTGAACCAATTTCTTTATCTACAATAAATTGACCTTCCATTTTATACGTAATGAATGTATTGTAAAGGTCCAACATATTTTCACCAGGAGGTGAGAGATTGAATGTTACCCATGTGTTATCTTTAGCAGTTCCAGGTTGTGATGGAATCTTTGCGTCAGAATATTTTCTATTAGTGTCACCAATTTGAACTGCATTGTCTATGATATCGAAATATGAGCGAATCTGATGAATATGCTCTGCTGGAGTAAATTCGTTTAACTGTTCGTTCTGCATGTATTTACTTCAGATAAAAATA